TTTACAGTGTCAAGTCTTTGTTTAATTACGAATAGTTCAAGTAACTTGCAAAGAAGATATTTGTCTGGGATGCACGCATATTAGTTTCAGCGGGCGGCGACAAAGGGAGCTCGCTTGCTTTCAGCTTCCTGCATCACCCTCCCACCCTAACAATATTGCCGCTAACTCACTCTAGCACCGCGAATTTAATTTGGACAATAATCTCACGGAAACTCGCGGTGGGACTCCACATTGTTAAAAGCAGTTTGTTTAATGTTTTATCCGACTAGTTAGTAGTTCTGTGTAAATGCTGAAAGTTACGAGGGTGAAACAGATTTTTTAGTTGGCCGGTGCAATGTTCAAAAATTCAAGAAAATAAAAAATGAAAAAGTATGATATTTTTTACAGCTCCGCAAATCTATTGTTGTTTATATTGGTGTCATGTAACGTATTGATTATAAATTATGTATTTTTAATAAATAATATTTTAACAAATGAGCCTTTTCTAAACAGCCCAGGAATGATTCTCATTTCATCTAGTTACTTACACTTACCTACGCGCTAAGCTTTCTGAAGCATTGATCATTATGGTACTTACCCACTAAAATAGGCCGGCGTTGGCTCAAATGTTGTAGGCGTTTCTTCACAAATGACAAAAGCTGGATTTATTATTATGATCCGAAAAGCAGCATCCTCTTTTCACGGGCGAATCCTTGAAGCGTGAAATAAAGATGATTGCCTCATTTTTCGGGTGGGTGGATTATATTAGGAGGTATGCAACGATTGTTATAGAAAATAAGATAAGTAACTAATTAGGTATTACTTACAAAAAATATACATACCTACTTCGTACCTATAGGTATTTACTTTCACCCTCGTATTGTTGATACTTCTGACTAATTATTGAGCTCTATCTTATGTAATTCATCTAGTATCATATTATTTATTACATTATTTTATTCTTAGATCTGCACGTGCAATGACGGTTGTTATAGAATACTTAAAGTTTCTAGTTACTTTGTAACCCCCTTTCCTTATTTTTGTCTACGTCCAGTTAATTTACTCAACACTCGACCTCAACTTGTTGCCTTATATTTTGACAAGAAGGCCTCTTCTGGCAAAGTTGGATGATTACACTAGGGGCCACTCTAGTTAAAAAATGTGTCTTCTGTGGAATTATTTTTTTACTCAGCGAGTAGCTGCTGATTAATATATTTGAAAAAAAAAAACCATCACAAAGTAATGAAGCGTTGGCTCTAAAGCTGTCTAAATCGCAGACTATTTCTGCGATCGTCGGCGACAATGGCCGCCTCGCGGGAGCTCGTTACGCGCGCTTGTGTTTGCCGCGCGCTCGGCACACGGACCGCTGACGAGTAATTATCGAGGGGTTAAAGGGAAGCAAAGAAAACCAAGGATATTGCGAAATTCGTCGAAAAGAGATCATTTTCAAAGAAAGTAGTGTAGCAACATTGTCGTCTATTTTTATTTTATTTTTAATTAGTTGACAAAGGTAGAGTCTGCGTAAATAGGAGTAACTAGACCTAAATAAACAAGTTCTAGACTATCTAACAAATGGGTAAACACAGAAAAGGAAAAAATGATTTTAAATTGCGTTTTTTTTTATTATAGACTTAGATTAATATCAGCGAGTTAAAATAGAGCTTCACGGATTTTATATCGTTTGATTTAAAAAATAGAAGATCAAAATTGCTAATTGAACTCCTCTTCATAGTTAGTTCTTTGAAAACCAAAACGTTTTTCATAAAATTGATACTAACTGATATTAGGCAACTTATGAAAGTAGTTAAAGTAGGTGCTATGCAATGCTAAGATCATAGTAAATAAAAAGGCTGTGGCCATATAGTACTGTTGAAAATGGAAGCCTGAAAATTTAAAATTGTGTCCGGAGAAGTCCTTGAATATTCAAGGGAATATTGGAAATACAATAATAATGAGTTGCTACCTACTCTGAAATTGAAATCAAGAAAAGAAAACAGGATCACTCGGTGCTACAACTCTTTTAAATTGCAAATTTTCAATACCATTCATTTCTTCGGCACTCTATCTTTTTCTTTCGTTACACATCTATTCAAATCTTGTATTCAATGGACCTGATTTTTCTTGTTCTTGAATAAGTTATTAATTGAAATTAGCCATTACGATAATTTATTTAATAATATCATTTGAAAATAATTGTCTACAAAGTGTGAAACTATATTTTTATGAAGAATTTGATATTTTTTTAAACAACTTGCACTGTTTTTGAACATAAAGGGTTTTTAAAATTATTCTGTTGATGGTTCGAGTAGAAACCTACTTGTTAGTTTAAACAAGTTGATGAAATAAATATAGATAATAATAATGGAGTCAAAAAAATACCTCGTGGGCGTCTGTTAGGAAAGGTTTACTTGCCTTATTTTTCAGATTTAGAAAAATCGTTTGTAAAAGATAAATTGAAACAATATAATCAAACCAATTTCAGTAATTAACTCGCAAGCTACAATATTACTGCGTATCATGTTAATGAAAGTAGAGAAAGAAACCATAGTATCTAATGGGCCTCCCATTCAAAACGCTTAACAATTTCGTCGTAATATTTATTTGGTCGTAAAATCCTTTGTTTACATAATCCTCGCAAAATAATTCCAACAAAAACATAACTCTGAGAATGTTGCCTAAAGTAAAGAATAAAACGATTTTACATGTTATTTCTATAGGCAAAGAAACGACTTTTGATTTGTATATTTTGTGATCTCTCATTGATATAATACGTACCTAGTTACTTAAAAACTTTTCCTCTCATCAAATTAAATCACGTTTCTACATCCTCAGTTTTCCTATTTTCATTTCAACCTTAAAATTACAACTCGTTAGATTTTATTTCTCTCGAAAGCAAGCGCAATAAACATTGTGAAGAGGTACCTACTCGTAATTATGAAAACAAATGAAGGTAATTAGTAGAAGCTTTTAACCGTTGGTTTATGAATTAGGGCATTAGATGGAGTGAACTCAGAAAACGGCTAAGATCCTTTGACAGCACCGCTCCTCCAAGTTTCCAATCTACGACGAGCTCAAAGGAAATGTATGACAGTATATAACGCCGGGGAAATAAATGAACTGCGTTACATTACGATCCAGGAGCGTCTATACTTCCACTTTGGGCGTTAAGATAAATTGTCTCAGTAAAAGTTTTATTTTCTTTCGCAGGAAGAAAGCTGCCGTAACAGCTTGCATTTATTTTATAAAAGATTTAAGAGCCTATAATACTTGTAGCCTTGGTAATGTATCTTGCTGTTGAAATGTTACCTGAAAGCATGAATAGGTAATCTAAATAAGCACTGTATTTTTTTCATTTTTTTTATTGAATTAAGTGTAAATTAAAACTCTGTAAAATTCATGGATCGCGCCTTTCTAGAAAGTCGTACTTGGGTCATAAATGAAATATTTTTGCGGCTTTCTCTTTCAGAAAGAAGCAGCAGGGCTACCCCGAAACGCTGTTTACGTAGTTTCGGGTCTATCTGTCACCGTCGCGAATGCTAGCATCTCGCTTTGCGTGAAAGGGATGGCAACATTCGAAACTTCGGATAACGTTTTTCAAAGTAATCCCGCAGGAAAACGTATTTCCGTGTCGCTGACACTTGAGTTCCTCGTACAATCTGCAAATGTAATCAAGACTATTTCGAGGTTATTCAACCTAACAATGGGATGTAACTACTAACTATCACCGACGCAACTATTCGTTCGTGTATGAATTCTCATATACCAATCAATAAGAAGTTTCATCCTCAATACGGTATTGTGCGTCGATTCATTGCGGATTTATGTGCCCATGGACAACAATGGAAACTCACCTTCCTTCTTCATCAAAAACTGTTATTGTATGTGACAGCAAAGATAGTAGAAGTAAAATATTCCTTTCTAAAGTCACCGTACTTATTATAAATTGTAAAAGGATTCAGTTGCTTTAAATTTTAAATTCAAAACTGTTTCTTTGAAAGGTTAATCACGCGGATTAATGATACGATTTTAAAATTATTCACCGCTCTTATTAATTACCTACTTATATAATTCTATAGTTTTAAATTCTACACGTAAAGCGCGAAAAGAAGGAATGGCTTTGTTGGTAATTCAATCCGCAATTATCGTTAGTGCATTTTTATAATACTTCGCCACAATGAAATGAAAGTGATAAAAAGGAAAAGCGTTCTAATGAGTGTTCCCACGTACAACTCCATTCATCATTGAAATGTGTAGGTAAACTACCTGGTTTAGGTTAAATATAGCCTAGTTTGGAAATAGTGTTGGGAAAAGCAATATCTACAAGTATAAAGATAAAGTAAAATAAAATTAGAATGCCAAATGAGAATGCGAGGACTCCAAATTTTAGCTAACTTTACCAGAGCATCGCAAATCTTTACGACGTAACTTGGAACAGTCGTGTTTTTCATAGGGACATTACAAAACCACGCGTCATAAGCGCACTTTACGCTACGTAATGGGGGTGATGTAGAGGTTGGCTCCATCAAGGGAATTAAGCCCGTGAAAGCCGGTTCCTTCATCGACCTTGCCTTATGGGATTAGGAGACAGTTCGACCTTTTTACGTCGCGCTCAGTTATTTCGAGAAATGCTTAAAACACCCAAGTTTAAATCCGAACGTTGGGAAGTTCTCGGATTGAAAGGGTTCATAGTTTTGTTATACGTTGTCCACTTGAGATTTTTGCTTCTTTGTAACAAGATAAATGTCTGTGTTTTTGTGTAATTTGTGAATATAGAGTTCATTTATTAATCAGTTAATGAAAAGCTTGAAGATCTTCGGTCGAGTGTGATAAAGCCCTAAATGTACTTATTTTAAAAATAAATACAAAAATGGAATTTGAATATCTATATTTTATACATAAATTCTTTTCATTAAACACTTAGTTTACATTCATCATATTTAAAACTAAATTGACAAATCCTGAGATACATTCATACATTATCACTAAGTACCTATGGAATTTTGAAATTGTTCCTTAACCAAATATTTGGTTTAATATTTGGTCAAAATTATATTGTCTTTAACTACTGTATTCCATTCATAGTAGTAGTATTAATTCAAAAATTCCATTTTTCATATTATGTGGTAAATTCAATGAAAATTCTAATATTTATTGTTCTACGCTTAACCCTCTATTGTTGTAATAACCTTACATGATATCAGCTGAAACAGCATAATAGATAGCTTTGGCTTAACACTCAGAATTGTATGTGTTTATATTTCTACAAACTTGCAAAAGCGATAGATTACTATGATATAGCCTTGGTATATATTACTCCAACGAATAATAGTTTATTTTATGGATTTATGTAAATAGATAGGCTGCTTCCAGTAAATTTTCAACATGTTTTTCTAAATTTTATGTAAAATCAATAAAAATTCACTTCATAAATTACCCAAAAATTGTGTAAACAGTTTACATTTATAGAAAAACTTTATCATATACGAGTCTAATACTTATTTTTTAATAAATCAAAAGCAGCATATTTATTAATTTTTGAATGGTGAAACTGAAATCATTCAAAAGTTACCTCATGATTACCTGATATTTATATTTTAATAACATTTCAGTCACATGTAATTAATAGCTACTATAAATTATATTAATGAACTATTTTCAACACACTTGCTTGTGAAATGACTCATATTGCAATTTTCAATTAAGCAGTTTTAAGCCTATCTATAATTCTCGCACTTGTTTAAATAAAAGTGTCAATATGAAACTATTAAGCGTATGCTTAAAACTCTTAAAACATTTCAAAAATAATTAAAACAAAAAACAATCACTGTGAAAAATAATAAGTGAAAATCATAATATTCATTTTCGCAAGTGTGTTGAGAAATGTAGTATGAAACGTACATGAGATGGTTATTATACTCTCTGGTTTATTACCCTCTCTAAGCTCTAGACTGAAATCCCCACAACTGTGATAACCATAGCACACTTGTATCATAATGTAATTATCTTACACAAATTATTTACAACTGCTTATACAACGAAAGAGACTGCAAAATGCACAGCACATTCATCCCTATATACATTAAAAACCATTAACTTCGCACGATGAAGAGCGACACGTCTTAATTATTGCAGATATCAATTAAACGTTTGATATCCTCGGTGTTACCTCACCTATAATAAATAAAAGACACTTAACTAATCAAGGACTTACAAAGTAAGCATATTCAAACAATTTTGACCCTTATTATACAATTAACTCATTATATCGACAGCGAACTCTGATATTTGGAATAATTATACTTGTTATATTTAACAATCGGAATCATAGGTATATAGAGGGTGCTTCTACCCGTAACGTGTATACGATTATACAAAGGGATTATTATTACCACTCATCCGAATACTCAATTTTGATAGAATACATTTTTCAGTCAACATCATTTCAAAACTTTATTGTTATAGATATAGATATAAATATAAATATAGAGAAAAACATATCTCCGATCGGTAACATCAAATAAATATTTTGTTATAAATATAAGTCTAAAATACAACGTGGAATGTATAAAAATTATCATTCTAAGAAATATTTTTTTTCTCCATCAGTTAAGCAATGGTCAAACTTATTTTACTTTAAATAATTATTTTATCAAACATCACATACATAAACATACTTTTAATCATATTTCAAAAGAAGGCACAACGGGCCCAGAGGGTCAAAATATAATTTTGAATAATAAATTGTTTTAGTATTGTATAACTATTTATGTAATAGGTGATACACGAGAAACATTTATAGAATAATAATAATAATAGATATTGTCTCGTAGATTTACCGCCAAATATATCGTCATTATGAAACTTTTTTAAAAGTATTTGCCTCTTGTTTTAATGACCAACGTCGTTATTATCATTGGGTATTTTTAATCAAAATTTTATTGTATTCCAACTCTACAACTACATTTTCATTACACATTATATTCTTCACATTTAACGGTATATCCAAAATTGGCAGTGTTTGCATTTAAATATCTTTATGAATTCAAAAATCAAGTCACGTTATTTCTAATATTTAGTTTTGATGGACGTTACAAACATCAACGTCAATCATTCTATGACCGACAATGGTAACCACTTCAATAAAACTATGCCACTGCACTAGTTATAAAATCATCAAAGTATCGCAAAGTATCAAGATGACCCGTTGGTTTATACAAAATGGTAAAAATCGTCAAAATGCAGTACCAAAACGGTTATTTCCAAAGCATTCAAAACCTAGTGGCGTTTCAAATAAATATTAATTTTCTAAAATCCTGGCGAACACAGTCGAGATGGCAAGCAAGACGAATGTGTATGCTACGCGCAGTTTTTCCGCACTGCCGGTGGCTCGAATGTCGCTCTCTAGCACAAACGGCTCGTCAATCACGTGAATGATGCCGTTGGTGCATTCCACGTCGGGCCTGAACACGTGAATCCAGTGTCCGTTCCATTCTACGTAGTAATCTGAAACAAATCCAATTTCCAGTAAATCGACTAAGTTCTCCAAAAATGCTGCGTGAACCAAGCTAATGACGTAAATGGACCGTTAAAAGCTTACTTTTATCAGATTCCTTGACGCGAAGCCGGAGTGGATCGCGTGATGTAGGCAGAACGAAGGGATGTGTTTCGTTCGCGAGCAGTTTCAAATCAGATACAGTGTACGCGCGCCCGGCTCTGATAACGTGTCTCTCTAGTATTTGCTTAGTCTGAAACAAATTCATTTTGTTTGAATTAAACACAATTACCTACCAATTAGAATGCCACACTTAAGACTATAACAAAATAAACATTACTATCATAGAGCACGTCATAATCATCATCATCGCCATCATCATCATTTCACCTTCCGGACGTCCACTGCTGAACGGCAAAAGTAAATAGTACTTACGTTACGTTAGCAAAATATCAAGTCATCAATGAAAACGTACCTACTGAATATTATTTCTATACATAAAACGTTCAAATACTTAGACTTGATTTTGGACCCAACATTAAATACACAATCCACTTACGAAATAGCCATAATCTTCTTTGAACAAAGCCTTAAACGCGGAGGGATGCTTGATCTGAAACTTGAGCCAGGCGTGGTCACGCGGCACGAAGTACGTGTAGCGGTGTTCCATTTCGCTGAACTGGTGATTGAACATCTGCCGTCTCCCGAGATTGTACGTAATGCTGTAAGATGTAAAGGTTTTATTAAATATTTCAAATTAAAAACAAAATCAGCAAAGTGATTGACATTGTCAGGAAGGCACTACTGTCTGTACTGGGTTACTGGTTTTTTACTTTTGCCTAGTGACTAGGGATTATGTTCAGAACTTCAACATAAAAAAAATATTCCAAAGTACCCATCAAAGGGTTTATGAAATACTTTCCTGTTACATAAAAAGACATGCAAAAAAGACTTATTTGTGTGATGAAAAGTGGTTATGGGAAGGGGCCTCGGCCCTTCAGAGCATACTTTTTGATCTTTGACATTTCATGTAATTTCTGTGAACTTACTTGAGCATCGGATCGGTCTTGAGCTTTTCAAACACAGTGGTATAAGGAACTCCCAGAACTCTGTCGATGATGTGGACAAAGCCATTGGTGGCAGCGATATTTGGCTGGATGACCGTAGCGTTGACTCCGCCGCCCTCTACCGTGAGAGTTTGGTTGTTGCCTTTGGTCAGCACGTTGAAATACAAATATTTCCGAGGCAAGGCTGTTGGTGCTTGATATATCTAAAATAAAATAATACATTAAATTCAATACCACATATAGACACTACCGCAAAATACATACATCTAATATTCATACACGTACAATCATGCTTTTAACCACATGGAATACAATTCGTAATAAATTAAAATACATTTCTACGGCAAATAGGTACCATTACCGATGAAAATAAAATCATATCGCCACAATGGGTTTATTTCATGCACTTTTCAGTAAACAAATGGGTTTTTAATGGGAAAATACAATAAACGGAGTAGTACACACAACTAAAGAACAAAATGATGAATTCATACTGAAAGTATGGAAAATCAATTATTAATTGATTAACGTACAGTTCCAGGAAGCTGATTCCATATAGCAGCGTAGTCGGTGGACGAAATTCATATTAATTGCAGTAATTATTCATTTAAAATTTCTCATTAAGTAGGTACATATCGTTTGACTACATAAAAGTTAATTGAAACGTGTGGTATTTTGTACTCGTAGCTTTCAATTTGTATAATAAAACAATTAGGTACACCTTTTATGCTTTAAAAAGACAATTACCTTACATTTTTGTTTCGTAGTTAGTTAACATAAAGACCGCAAATCTAATAACAGCGTATATTAATTTAAGTCTCCAAGTCTTTTAAATGTTCTAACAAAGTAAATGACTCACCTGATTCAAGTTATTGTGAATAATAGCGTCCATGGGTAATCTTTCTCTAACGAGATGCAGATTAAGGATTTCCTTGAGCTTTTGACTGTTTCTGTAATATAAGATTAAATTATTTACAAAAATACTATTTGAGAATTCATGAACATTGTCCACATCCATGAAGTTTCATAACTTCTTTTACGACATTGACATTTGAACTGACCTTATGATGTTCTGAACACTGTTTTCTTTCCATGCTTCGTTAGAGGGCGCGAATAGGGTTATGTCCTTGGCCATGGTAAGTTCCTTCAAGAACTGGTTGTTGGCGCCCAAATCCATGATCACTTCGTAAAACTTGCATAAAGGCCCGTCATCCTTTTCCTAATAGAATTTTTAAATAAGTCACCTTTATTTCAAAATATATTAACTTTTCAAGATACATTTACAGAAATGTAGTAGGTAAAGAAAAACGTTTATTTCTAAAAGTTTTTCATTAGAGGTAGAATTTTCTCACGGAATATAGCGCGACTCTACTTTCAAAGTTTGTTTTTATATGAGTACGGTAGTTTGCTTACAATCTTTGTATTGTTCCGGCGGCTATAGCGATAGTTTGAAACTGATTCAGTCAAATTTATAAAGCTAACAACATTTTATAATTATTTTACATACCTAACTACATACTTTACCTGGATTTCTTAAATCTAAAAGGGAACATAACCTTTCCGGTACATACAAAGGTTTGGGTTGAAAAAGACGTCACAAATTACAAAGTGAAATTATACCAAGACACAAACACATGCAAATCAGGGCAATACTTACAATCCCCTACAGTTGCCAAATGTCATGCAGGGTCCAACATCGGGAAGAGGGCACAAACAAACAAAATAGTACAGCAAATTGCAAATACTCCTCAATTCAATACGAAATAACAAAACTATTAGTTGCTAACATTATTTATGCTTTGATGAATAATACACCCTTTGTATTGATTACCAAATTCTCGGCTGGCCTGATACATATCCACGATAAATAAGCAATACTTTACTTCAATTTCCGAATATGAAATAAATATCCCTCTGAAATACGGCGCTGAAGTTATATTACCGATATCGAAAATCTTACTGAGCAGATTCAAAGAAAACTGAATCTTTCATTCAGCGTCTTTTGGCAGAAAATGTAATATAATAATATATCATAAGTAGTGTAATATTCAAGTTGACTAAACCAATATACTGAGCTGTGTAGTAATAAAGTGTAATGCTTTCAAATATATCATCTTGGGTTGGTTAACTACATTTTTATGTTACAGATGCTTACTTAGTGCGTGACATGAGACTAAACTAACTACTAAGTAATGAACAATTTGTATTACGCTCATGAAGACTGATTAACCTCCACTACAATTACATAAATAAATATACACAATCAAAAACCATACATAATTAAACACAATACTATAGATACCTGATATCCTGAATGACTTTAAATGCTGCAAAGTATTCTAATTAAATGTGATCTGATTTTTATGGTTATCATTTTTAAAGATATACATATCTTATTTACTTTTCCAATTATTTAGGTAGATGACATCTGCATTAACTAGTTCTAATAATACCACTTACAAACAAAACAATCTCAAATAACAATCGACTGCACAACAGACAAAATTAAAACCGTGCTTGAACTGAGTTGCAAACAGACTCTCAGAAAAAACACTCAAAAGGAAACAGGCTTAAATGGAGTAATAGGACACGCAAAAGATTGATAAAATAGAAAGGGATGAAAATAAAGAGCCTTCATTTTACCTTCATTGCCTGGTTTCCACGTAAATGGAGCGAGAAGTCAATGACAGGATTCAAAGTTTATCATTCAGTCGAAACAATAAATATTGTCGCCTCAGTTTAGCTTTCATTCGTGAATAATTTATCAGAATAAGTTCGAAATATTGAGTGAAATATAAATTAGCTTTAAGATATTTCAAGGCAAGGGTGTCAAATATTGATTTATCATTTGTGTTATTAGCTTATTGATATAAGTAGTTTTTACCTTCAGGAAGTCAATCACGGTGGTGTCCACCACCATCAGCGGTCGTTGGATTAGGTGGACTACTCCATTCTTCACTGGGATGTTGGCTTTCACGATGTCAGCCAACACGACTCCTCTACTATGCTTGGCGTCACCAGCAACAGTATTTGATTTCACGTAGGCTGTAGCAACAAAAAGTATTTTAATCTTCAGATAAAGTTACATAATTTGTAACCTACATTCGCTACATACTCGTAATGTATATTGATATTTTTGATTTATTTATTTATTTATTTATTTATATTAGGGAAACAAACAATTTTCATATACAGACAAATAATCACACAAAAAATAGGACAGAAATCAGCAAAGTTTCCACAGTTAAAATTAATACAGAGTGCAGACTAAAAATTAATTGAATAGTAATAAATTATACATTAATTTCTAAATGTCAAATAAATACAATGTCAATTTTATAAAATGTCAAACAGTTAAATTTAATAAAAATTATAAAATGTCAAAAAGTTAAATATTAATAAAATTATATAAATTAAAAACACAATAATTATGTAGGTCAAAATTAAAAGCAAGTTATATATTCAAACATTCTCTCAATTGTTTTTTATAAGATGGTAAGGAAGAATTAAAAATGTCAATCGTGTTAAACCTATTATTATATTCCTTACAAGATCTAGGTACAAAACTGTTGCTAGCATAATTAGTCATAATGAGAGAAATAGAAAAAAGTTTTGTAGAACGCGAACTCGTCCGAGGGCACCTAAAACTAATATTACTTAACAAAAAAGAGGAGTCAACATGGTTATTTAAAACTTTGTAGAGAAAGACTTGGTCTTTCTCAATGCGACGGTCTAAAAGAGATGGTACATTAGGAAGTGTTCCGCCAAACTTATCAGCTTTGTAACGTAAGTGTTTTTCAAACTTTTACTACTTTAATTAAGATGATACTCACTAATTTCTTCTCTACCATTCATGGCAGTGCTGAATGAAACTATGACCTTGACGTTATCACCGAAAGCTAGCGTCTCGAACTCTTTCGTATCAGGAGTTGCCTTCGTGAAAAGGACGTGATGAGGTATGACGTGTCCATCGACGACTTTTTCATCTATTAAGTCAGATCTGGTCGTCGGCTGTAAAAGAAAACCTCATAATTACTCGAATAAAAAATAAAATTAAATGTAGGTATTATTTTGTATTTTTAATTCATACCTTGAAGCCCTCATCGACAGGAATGAAAAATGTATGTCTGCCGTCAGCATTGAATACTTCCTTCTTTTGAAGTTGATTCACTTTCTGTCGGAATGACCTGTCAAAGGGAATTATTGAATATCCTATTAAGTCCATCATTTTCCTCTTCCACTCGTTTTTAAAGAGTTGTAACAAAAGCGTTCGAATGATTCTCAGAATAAAATTGTAAATACCTATCTGAAGTAATGTTTCATTACGAAGTTGAAAGCCATATTCAATTAGCTGTAAAAAGTTGAATGCAATTGTAAGTTAGCTCGTGAATGTTCTGCCGTGAAACACGCGAGGTGGTAATTAATGTGTGCATTGTTACGTAATGCGTTCGAGTTCCTGCATTTAAGGATTTCTGTTAAATTTTTTTGCGAATATTCATTGAAATGAAAATGACATCTAAAATAGGAGAGAGATGTGGGAATTATTCACTTCCACATTACCGTACCTACTTTACAGAAGAGAATTGTTATTACCTCAGCCTGTGCTGGCCGATATTGAACTCGTCGGAGTGCTCGAGGAACTGATATGCATTGGGGTTGTAGACCATACTGGTGCTTGCTCCTGGTCCATGGGGCTGGAGAGGCTGCAGAACTTGGTCTATCACATGAAGAACCTAAGGAAAGAAACAAAAGCTTCGCGTTCACACAATTTTTTTGCTAGGTAGGTACTCATTGGAAATAGGTAAAGAGTGAGCAATATTTTCAAAGTATGAAATATTTAAATTCATTAATATTAGAGACGCATAAGGTTCTCTTTTCGAAAACGCAAAACATAAAATCTGCAAGTGATTTATTTTTTTCGTTCTGGTGCTTTTGTATTGATTCCTAAGATCATTTTAGTATCAAGCATCTGCACTATGTTTTTAGGGGCTAGATTCTTATGACAACTGGATCGCTTACCTGTCGTTTCCCATTCCTATTCATAGCCTGGTAAGACCGGGACACGTAGACCTTGGCGTTGTTGACGTAAATGTCATCGTGCATCGTGTCGCGCCTCCTCGTCACCCACAATGGCGGATTGCCGTCGAACTCCGAGGATATCGCGTAGTCTAAATTCGATAGAGTCGTTGCCAGATTCGCTGAAAAGACAACCTTCATCAGATTCTACGAGAATATTTCTTAAATGAGAAGACAACTATCAACTGCATTATGATGGTACAGGGTTAAGCATGATATGTCGCTGTAGTCGATCGGGGTTTTGGCGATTAAGATTGCTTGCCATGTAACTCCTTGAATTTCTCAAAGACTAAATGCGGCTAGCCCTTACCAATGTAGTTTGAGTGAATTTTCACAGCATAGAGCTCAAATTGATGCGGCGTCCATTCAACCACTACCTAGTTAAAGAATGCCATATTGACTTATTTATAAGGTCCATTGTTGTATACTCACATATGTGATAGAGCACGAGAGAGTCGTCCATTTCGCCGTTATACCGCTGGAAGGCCTCGTTGGTGGGCGCAAACATGGTGAGCTGGCGGTACTGAAGGCTTGTATTGGCCACCGCATTCCGTTCCAGCAGGGCCAGGAACTGCGAACAAACGAGACATAATGAGTCGTTTTTCAATTACCTTAGAGTGAAACATTTATGAGTTCATGTCGTCATCATCATCATCATTTCACCCTCAGGACATCTACTGCTGAACATAAAAGGCCCACCCCAATGATATTAATTTTGACCGGTTGGTAGCAACCTCACCTTGTTACTACCAAAAGCTTCATGTAATTTATATTTAAAACGTGCTTGTCACGCCATTATTATGATTAAGCTCTAAAGGACAAACGACCAACTGGTTGGGTTTTTATTGGCGGTCAAGTTGCGGATCCAGACTGTACAGGAGTTGCTATGGTAAAAACGAGAGGAGAGAATAGTCTCGTAAGCCCTAAAGTAAGCAGTATGGGGATGATAAATTATACATTTAAACAACCATGGCTAAAGTCCGACAAAGTTCGTGCATATCATACGAAGTTGAACACGATACGGGATTTGAAACCGCCTCTACAAGCTTTGCAGTCCGAAACACAAACCACAAGACAAGAGACAGCTGTTAATTAATTTTAACTAACGTGAACGCATTCTCAGAAATTATTCACAAAAGGGTGGGTTGTACCATTTTACTTTAAAAACACCAGTTATCGTTATAGTTACGCAACCTTAGTTACAAAACTCAGACTTAATAAGTATCTCAATTATCTAATTAAGAAAATTTTATTGTATTCTTGTCCCAGAATATGTTACTACTCATCTTTTTCAATAATTAGATTTACCAACCAAAAACTGAAATTCATGGTAAGTTTTTCAATGAAAGTAAATATTAAAACATGAATAAAATTGACGTTCATAAAGTTGGAACAGTTAACGCAATATTCATGAGTTCGCAAGCAGTCAGATTTTCATAATTTGTTTTGTATTGATTTCGTAGTTACGTGTTTTACACGCGTGGAAAAAGCAATTAACTTAACGCTGTCCAATACGATAATGGGATTAATCGTTTACCAATATAATCGAAATTATTATTAACGGTAGGTACCTATACTCGTACCTACAATAAGAGTTTAATATGAGCTACATTTTATATAGTCCAAATACCTACAATACATTTTATACGGCTAAAGACTTGATCTATAACATCTCATATCTTTCAATAACACTACTAAAAAGTTTTTAAACAAAGTCACTTGAAACAAATTATCTTGACATTGTACTTTTGACATAGATTACTTAATTAATAGACTCATTACAAAACCGACACAGGCTCATTAAAACTCCAAGCTAGAAATCTTCACTGAAACAGACTGCCTACTTATTTATGTATATCTCCACAAACAACCATCTCCGTGAATCCATTATGGAGAGCTTAATGGACCATAAGAGCTAAACCTCGGAGAATGACAGCCAAATCTTTACGACCTTAGTCTATAAACCTTATAACTAATTTCCAACAAAATTCTTCCTTAAATTAATAAAGTCTATGATACTAATCTCGACCCATCTTATTTCTAATTAAAAGCTTAATATACCTTTTGTGACTTCATGTACCTAAATTAATTACAAAAGAATAATTGATACAATCTTGGCTGAAACTTTCATGACAACGAACGAGCTTTCGCTAAAATATTCACTAATTCGTGCGCCACCTATTACGAAGTCTGGTATTAAAACCATAATAATATCTACAACTCGTGCAGTTTAAATTCAAATAGCTCTTTGTGTCGCAGTAATTAATTGTTCAATTTACTATTCATATCACAGTCGAGCGAAACAAAACAGCTTTCCGTCAGGATTAGTAGTGACTAACTAATTATAGCTATGGTTAGAAAACTAGGAAATGTCAATAATAGTCACGTTCAATGCATAGAGCTAGAACAACAATAGCTTCCCATGAGACACGCGTATACGTAGTACGGAGGTGTAGTCCAAAGAAAGCAGCCAAGATATTTTAATCGATAACATATTTCTATGATTTAAAGTGTATCTTACACAATTCATACGGTCCTATGCAGTCTCAAAAGTTAAGCTTATGCATGCAGTCTACAAACCAAAGTCACCAAACCCACCGACGTAGAAAGTATAAGTCGTCGACATTACATTATATTTCATAACACATCCTATTTCACAATTTTCTTGAAGTATGAATTGGTTTAGTTATTATAATTTTTCTGGTTTTAAGAGTTAAGGTTCATCCAGTTTGTTTAACTACAAATTCCATGGTGTAAATTGTTGTAGTGGCTGTTCTACTTGGACTTCGATAAATAATGTCAGAACTCAGAACATACAAAGCCTTTATAGAGCACCTACCTTAAGGTGAAATCAGGAAGCCTTTGTTTGCATCCACGGCAGTTTGCGAAGAGTTGAGATGGGTGTGCTGGGCCCTCACTAAAGTTCGCACAACTTGAACCAAACAGTTCAACTGTTTAGGGTGTGTGTACTCAAAGTTTTCTATAATAAACTAAAGCAAAATCCCCAAAACATTCACTATCTATTTCACGGACAAAGAGACTGACTCTACCTTTAATTTTTTTTCTTTCTTTATTGAGATGGCGGTCAGTAAAAACAAGTAAGAGAAAGAAATACATTAACATAACTTAATTATAAACCATTTGCATAAAAACAAGATGCTAAAATTTAAAATTTATACAGCACCCTGCATTAATATGTTGAGGGGTGAAAAAAGAAGCGTCTTACAGAAAACTGAATATTGATATTGAGTTTGGATTAGAATTCGAAGAAGTATGCTTAATTAATAAATAGTTATTGACAGCCAGTCTCTTTCACTGTTATAACTTTTCACTTAAATAAGTAAGGGTCTTTAAACGCCAGTTTTGTGAAAAGCACTGAAAAGCTTAATTATATTAGCGTAGAGGAAATTAGAAGTTAACAAATTACCACGATTTAATGCTTGCAAAGGATTATTGCATTCATTATTCCACGGAATCGTTTGCAAATTTTAGCCATGAATATTGAAAATCAGGGCAAAGGTGAGCCCGAATCCTCCTGAGAATTTTAATTTTCCATTCCATTACAAGTGGGACCTTAAATTTACTCTCAGATAATTCATTTTGAGACTTATTGATGTCAAGAGCAAATGCGTAATCATGAATAAAATGTTACCTTCGTTAAATAGGTAACTTACTTTCTCTAGTGTTTATTTTTATGGAGTCTCGTTATTTACTCGACGGCCTTTTTACCTTCATTACTTCATAAAACCGTAACTACAGCTTTATTTAACTTAACTCGTATACCTAAGTACATTTATTCTACGTTTACCAAGTAAAATCGCTGTTTGGAAAAACTTTAATTTACCTTCCTTTGATTAAAATACCTCACTGGGACTGGAAATTTCGTAATTAGCTCATGAAAAAATTAAAATTAACAGAATTAAAATCCTTTTTCCAAAAACTAATTTATTCTCTAAAATACCTACTCGTAAAACGAGTTTGTTCTGTGACAAAGTAAAGATTTGAGACTCTTAGAAAAACGACTTCCAGCAAAAGCGTGTAGAATTAATTTGGTAAACTCGTGTTGTCGACGGTCCGTATCATCCCATCACACAGATTGAGATGAAACCCAAATTGCTCCTTTATACGGATTTTATCCCATTTGCGGCTTAACTAGAATTGGATAATTTGTTTTGACCTCGTTTAATGATAAACGTATTAAGCGAGAGAATGAAGTCAAGTTATTATGCTTAAATTATAATACATTCAGCTATCGTTCAAAAAACTTACTTGCATATTGAATACAAAGTGGTGTAATAGCAATTTTTTTCGTAAATCAGCCTCACGGAAGCCATCGACGGTCTAGACGCCATTTTAGGTACACTTCATTTAGGTAGGGTCAGAACCGAGTCCTTATCAGCTGCTTGAAGCAGACAGGCGTGGCTCGTGTATTTCATTTTTGTTATGAACCCAGCTGAATATCGTACCCATTTCAAAATATATTTTTATGCAGCATAAAGTTATCTCCCCAAAACACACGCTTTTTCTTCTGTATTCATCGCGTCCTTTTAAAATTTATTCGTGAAGATAATTGATGTAGCTCAGACGTTTCACAACAAAGCTTTATTACAGTTTATGTAAAAATATAATTTGAAGATGTTTGATACTTTTAACAGCTACGTTGTAGCTATCTCATTGTATTCCAGGCTCACTTCTAACAATAGGGCCTCCATTCACAAGTAAATACGATAAATACTTGGAATGGCACAAGTTTCTCGTAACAATTCTATCAGCCCATGCAAGTCAGCATTCAAGCTTTGCTAACATATGATTAAAAGCTACTTTGTAAACATAGAATAGCACTACGTCATTGTATAGTTAGTGGTCATAAACATTTACTGGCATTTGGCAACAGAAAATGGGTTGTGGGTGTAAGCTGGCGAAAATATAGGGTTTGTTGCCCCGCTTGGCGCCAACAAGGCGGGATGGGGCAGACGGGCGTCGGGCATGGGGCATGGCATTGCCAACAAGAGCTGAACCACTGCCCTATTTGCTGGTTTAACGACCTTGGGGACAGCACGGTTGATCACACTCTTTTATACAGCGCAATTTGCGATCAGAAGTTTGAGCTTTTATTTGTCGCAGACCAGCTAATTAGGATGGCGCGCAGGAAAATAAAATCGCAAAGTGGAAAACTTTTGAGAAGTTTTTACAATTGTTTTATCTGAACCCGATAGGATTACGGTTTTCCCAAATATTCTCGATAGCAGCGTGGATTGGTAAGTAGGTACCTTGTTATTTATGTGCTCAACGAAAGCTCACATCACCGCAGGAATATTTTTCGCGAACTAGCCCAAAAGTCAATGGCTCGTGAAAGCGAGAAACAATGGATGGCCTTCAAAGGCTCTAAAATTTCAAATGAATGAACCCTAACGTCCCTGTACGTGCTCCGGCGACGCGACGCCAAGATGCTCTTTGGATAATTACTTCAGTCTGACGGCATTAGGCTGAGAGCTGGTTTTTAGCGATAAGAAAATAATAAGCCTCTTATTCATTGTCCATGAGTAAAAATTTTCGTTAGCATAATGGTGT